CGGGGGCGAACAGCGCCAGCCACACTAATGTTGTACGTCTGGCCACAGACCAGGTTAGTCAGGGTGCAGTTGCTGCTGGAGCTGGTGCAGTTGAGACTCTGTCCATGGCTGGTGGCTGTTACAACATAACTCACTGCATTGACACTGGGAGTCCAGGACACCTGAACAATGCCAGAACTAGAGATCAGCTGGCTGGACACATTAGTGGGAGCACATGTCCCTGGAAGAGTAAACAACACATCAATTACTGTCAGTCTCTCTTTAGGAATGACACGATCATTATTGTGTAACAACATCAAAGACACATTTAAATCATTTTTACCAAGAGTCTTCTAACTGAGACGCCCATGAAATAAGTCACAGTAACAAAATATTCTCAATGGACAGGTTATCGTTTCTTCATCAGTATTGTTATTACCTGTCTGAACAGTCTGTGGTGTGCTACTCACTCCACTGCAGCCAGCAGAGCAAGCTTTGACAGAAACATTGTAAGTCTGTCCACACTGAAGGCCACTCACACTGCAGCTGCTACTATTAGTTTGGCAGCTTAGTGAACTTGTGTTTCCAGCCAGTGGCACAGCAGTGACATGGTAGTTGAGGGCCACGGCAGAAGAAATCCAGCTGACCGTTAAGATATTGGAGCCACATGTCAGGTTACTGCTGATGTTCTGTGGAGCGCATGGAACTGGCAGAGACAAATGATCAGTCAGAAACCATCAGGCAAGTACACTGCATTCAAATATTACTGGACCTATCTACATCAGAGTCAGAAACAATCGCTCAAGGTGTGTGTAGGTCTGATCAAATGTGTGCCCACCTCCCCTTCACTACCTTGGTTCTGTGTGAACGGGTCACTGTAGTTGCTGACACAGTTGCCGTCAGTGGCAGTCACGCTAATGTTGTACGTCTGGCCACAGACCAGGTTACTCAGGGTGCAGTTGCTGCTGGAGCTGGTGCAGGTGAGACTCTGTCCATTGCTGGTGGCTGTCACAGCATAGCTCACTGCATTGACACTGGGAGTCCAGGACACCTGAGCAATGCCAGCACTGCAGTTCAGCAGTAAACAACACATCAATTACTGTCAGTCTCTCTTTATGAATGACACGATCATTATTGTGTAACAACATCAAAGACACATTTAAATCATTTTTACCAAGAGTCTTCTAACTGAGACGGCCATGAAATAAGTCAAAGTAACAAAATATTCTCAATGGACAGGTTATCGTTTCTTCATCAGTATTTTTATTACCTGTCTGAACAGTCTGTGGTGTGCTACTCACTCCACTGCAGCCAGCAGAGCAAGCTTTGACAGAAACATTGTAAGTCTGTCCACACTGAAGGCCACTCACACTGCAGCTGCTACTATTAGTTTGGCAGCTTAGTGAACTTGTGTTTCCAGCCAGTGGCACAGCAGTGACATGGTAGTTGAGGGCCACGGCAGAAGAAATCCAGCTGACCGTTAAGATATTGGAGCCACATGTCAGGTTACTGCTGATGTTCTGTGGAGCGCATGGAACTGGCAGAGACAAATGATCAGTCAGAAACCATCAGGCAAGTACGCTGCAATTTTATCTACAGTGAATTTAAAAAAACTACAAACATAGCCACATCTTTAAGTCTCATTGAACTCATTGTACAGCTGGTGTTGGACTGGATTTTGACCTTTAAATAGAGTCGGGTTACTTGTGTCCCCCTCGGCCAGTTTTATGCTAACATATCTGGCTCTTGGCTAACCAATTACTCAGATGGAAGAAACTGAGCAGACTGAGGTAGAGGGTAAAATGGATGACTTCACTTCAAAAACAGGTGGTAGAATATCTTGCAAAAAATACAATAATCTTCTTTGCACACACCTATAAATTGCTTGAGCCCAGTCTCAAAAAATCCTTTGCAAAAGGTAATCCAAAATTACACCTAGAAGTTCAAAAAGCAAACTTACAACCCAGGGTCAGAGGCAAAGAGAACATCAGTTGAGAAAACACCGGCTAGGGTGACCCTGAATGTGCAACCAGGAACTCTGGCTCAAGAGTAGAGATGGCACTGTCTTTGTCACATGAGGATTCAGACAGGTGATACCATCTTCGGCAACCTACGAGACGTGGCATCAGCAGCTCCAGCCAACCCAATGACGGGTTCAGAGGCAGACATGGTCTCGGTGGCTTCAGCCAACCCACTGGCAGGTTCAGGGCCAGACAGCAGTTCCAGCTGACCCATGGGCTTGAAGAGGAACAGAGACAGAAATGACCTCGGCAGCTCCAGCCAATCCACTGGTGTGAACTAGAACAGAGGCGATGTCATCCCCAACCCATCAGGGAACTGTAACAGAGGCAGTGTTGGCATTGCCCATGCTGACCCACTTGGGAACAGGAATAGAAGTAGTGGTGTTCCCCTCGAGCCACCATAGAGCAGGAACAGAGGTGGCATTGTTCCACTTAGAAACAGAAACTGAAACTGTTGTGATGATGTTATCTTCATCTGATCCACGGTACGAAACTGTAAGAAGTAATTATGTTGGCCAAGATGCTTCTTCTGCTCACAGCTGTGTACTCCATTACCTTTACAGGTACAAGGCAAAAACCTCAAGGGTTGAATACAAAAACAGCAGAGGACTGTCCGAGTATCAGAAGGCAGGACCAGACAATGATGAACCATGCAGGTGAGAAACCAGGTAAGGAATAATAGCCTTCTTCCAGAACCTCAGAGAGAGCCGACAGGAATGACCACATAACCAGAAGATAGTGGACTCCACAGGTGAGTAACAGGGTAGGTATAGATAGTACTTTAAACCAGGCTTGGAGATACACGGGTGAGTATCGATGACAACAGTGCAGGCAAACAATTTAAAGCTGAGCAAAGAAATCAACTGAGCAGACTGAAGAAGATGCTGGCACTAAACAAAATGGCGGGCTTCACTAGGTATGGCAGAAAACAGGGCACTCAGACATGGACCCACAGATGGTGAGTACAGAACCAGATAGATAATACAATAAAATCAAGCACTCATATTTTCTCCACAGGAAACAACATTCATACATTTGGTGTTCAACCAGGCGAGTAGAGTATGACCGGTGAGTACAGAACCAGGTGGGTATTACAATAGCATGACACACTCGTTATTTCTCTCCACAGGAGACAACATTCACATAATTAGGTGTTTCAGCCAAGTGAGCATCAAAAACAAGTGGCAGAGTAAACCAAAAATTAGAATGAGAGGCAATAACACAGGTCAGGCAGTTTACAGGAAGCATGACATTCAGGTGAAGCTCGAGAGCTTCAACAAATTGTGAGCGACTATCTGGCAGCTAACTAAAAACAGGAAGCAGGTTATATGGACAGGAGATGACACACAGGTGAACTCAATCAGGTGGCCAATTAGCAGCATTAAGAGGCTTTCAGACAGGATGCAGTAGGTGCTGCATTCTGCTTTCAAACCCATTCATTTCTATGTGTTGTGCAGCTCAAGAACATATGTGCGCTATGCTGTCCTTGCGCTGAAGTTAAAAAAAACTGCAACTTGGGTGCAGCACTCTGTGATGACACCTTGATGCATCCAGTTGCAGAGAACCAATCAGACCACAAAGAAAAAGGAAGAGAAGCTGATTTTGGTGAGCTTCTTCTTTGCTGCAGCTCGTCTCCTCCTCCTCATTAACGCAACCAAAGCCATAGCTTTTCACTGACATGCAGATAGCTACATCATGCATGCAAGCCCGCTGCTCAAAAAACTAGTTAATAGCCCGATAACCATCTTCTGGAAAGCTTTTTGGTCACATAGCAGCTGGTGCCAAATGTGTGCAATTTGCGAATGTGTGCCCACCTCCCTTGTGCTGTGCCCAACCCCAAGTGGCGGGCGCAGCACATACCACATCCTAGCTGAACGCCTCTTAAAGCTGAGGTAGGTGAAATGGTAAGAGACACAAGGTATCTAAGAATAAAAGACTTAAACAGGAAATCAAAACTGAATCATGACAGGTTGGTCTGATCAAATGTGTGCCCACCTCCCCTTTACTACCTTGGTTCTGTGTGAACAGGTCACTGTAGTTGCTGACACAGTTGCCATCAGTGGCAGTCACGCTAATGTTGTACGTCTGGCCACAGACCAGGTTACTCAGGGTGCAGTTGCTGCTGGAGCTGGTGCAGGTGAGACTCTGTCCATTGCTGGTGGCTGTCACAGCATAGCTCACTGCATTGACACTGGGAGTCCAGGACACCTGAGCAATGTCAGCACTGCAGTTCAGCTGGCTGGACACATTAGTGGGAGCACATGGTCCTGGAAGAGTAAACAACACATCAATTACTGTCAGTCTCTCTTTATGAATGACACGATCATTATTGTGTAACAACATCAAAGACACATTTAAATCATTTTTACCAGAAATCTTCTGAGACACCCATGAAATAAGTCACAGTAACAAAATATTCTCAATGGACAGGTTATCGTTTCTTCATCAGTATTTTTATTACCTGTCTGAACAGTCTGTGGTGTGCTACTCACTCCACTGCAGCCAGCAGAGCAAGCTTTGACAGAAACATTGTAAGTCTGTCCACACTGAAGGCCACTCACACTGCAGCTGCTACTATTAGTTTGGCAGCTTAGTGAACTTGTGTTTCCAGCCAGTGGCACAGCAGTGACATGGTAGTTGAGGGCCACGGCAGAAGAAATCCAGCTGACCGTTAAGATATTGGAGCCACATGTCAGGTTACTGCTGATGTTCTGTGGAGCGCATGGAACTGGCAGAGACAAATGATCAGTCAGAAACCATCAGGCAAGTACGCTGCAATTTTATCTACAGTGAATTTAAAAAAACTACAAACATAGCCACATCTTTAAGTCTCATTGAACTCATTGTACAGCTGGTGTTGGACTGGATTTTGACCTTTAAATAGAGTCGGGTTACTTGTGTCCCCCTCGGCCAGTTTTATGCTAACATACCTGGCTCTTGGCTAACCAATTACTCAGATGGAAGAAACTGAGCAGACTGAGGTAGAGGGTAAAATGGATGACTTCACTTCAAAAACAGGTGGTAGAATATCTTGCAAAAAATACAATAATCTTCTTTGCACACACCTATAAATTGCTTGAGCCCAGTCTCAAAAAATCCTTTGCAAAAGGTAATCCAAAATTACACCTAGAAGTTCAAAAAGCAAACTTACAACCCAGGGTCAGATGCAAAGAGAACATCAGTTGAGAAAACACCGGCTAGGGTGACCCTGAATGTGCAACCAGGAACTCTGGCTCAAGAGTAGAGATGGCACTGTCTTTGTCACATGAGGATTCAGACAGGTGATACCATCTTCGGCAACCTACGAGACGTGGCATCAGCAGCTCCAGCCAACCCAATGACGGGTTCAGAGGCAGACATGGTCTCGGTGGCTTCAGCCAACCCACTGGCAGGTTCAGGGCCAGACAGCAGTTCCAGCTGACCCATGGGCTTGAAGAGGAACAGAGACAGAAATGACCTCGGCAGCTCCAGCCAATCCACTGGTGTGAACTAGAACAGAGGCGATGTCATCCCCAACCCATCAGGGAACTGTAACAGAGGCAGTGTTGGCATTGCCCATGCTGACCCACTTGGGAACAGGAATAGAAGTAGTGGTGTTCCCCTCGAGCCACCATAGAGCAGGAACAGAGGTGGCATTGTTCCACTTAGAAACAGAAACTGAAACTGTTGTGATGATGTTATCTTCATCTGATCCACGGTACGAAACTGTAAGAAGTAATTATGTTGGCCAAGATGCTTCTTCTGCTCACAGCTGTGTACTCCATTACCTTTACAGGTACAAGGCAAAAACCTCAAGGGTTGAATACAAAAACAGCAGAGGACTGTCCGAGTATCAGAAGGCAGGACCAGACAATGATGAACCATGCAGGTGAGAAACCAGGTAAGGAATAATAGCCTTCTTCCAGAACCTCAGAGAGAGCCGACAGGAATGACCACATAACCAGAAGATAGTGGACTCCACAGGTGAGTAACAGGGTAGGTATAGATAGTACTTTAAACCAGGCTTGGAGATACACGGGTGAGTATCGATGACAACAGTGCAGGCAAACAATTTAAAGCTGAGCAAAGAAATCAACTGAGCAGACTGAAGAAGATGCTGGCACTAAACAAAATGGCGGGCTTCACTAGGTATGGCAGAAAACAGGGCACTCAGACATGGACCCACAGATGGTGAGTACAGAACCAGATAGATAATACAATAAAATCAAGCACTCATATTTTCTCCACAGGAAACAACATTCATACATTTGGTGTTCAACCAGGCGAGTAGAGTATGACCGGTGAGTACAGAACCAGGTGGGTATTACAATAGCATGACACACTCGTTATTTCTCTCCACAGGAGACAACATTCACATAATTAGGTGTTTCAGCCAAGTGAGCATCAAAAACAAGTGGCAGAGTAAACCAAAAATTAGAATGAGAGGCAATAACACAGGTCAGGCAGTTTACAGGAAGCATGACATTCAGGTGAAGCTCGAGAGCTTCAACAAATTGTGAGCGACTATCTGGCAGCTAACTAAAAACAGGAAGCAGGTTATATGGACAGGAGATGACACACAGGTGAACTCAATCAGGTGGCCAATTAGCAGCATTAAGAGGCTTTCAGACAGGATGCAGTAGGTGCTGCATTCTGCTTTCAAACCCATTCATTTCTATGTGTTGTGCAGCTCAAGAACATATGTGCGCTATGCTGTCCTTGCGCTGAAGTTAAAAAAAACTGCAACTTGGGTGCAGCACTCTGTGATGACACCTTGATGCATCCAGTTGCAGAGAACCAATCAGACCACAAAGAAAAAGGAAGAGAAGCTGATTTTGGTGGGCTTCTTCTTTGCTGCAGCTCGTCTCCTCCTCCTCATTAACGCAACCAAAGCCATAGCTTTTCACTGACATGCAGATAGCTACATCATGCATGCAAGCCCGCTGCTCAAAAAACTAGTTAATAGCCTGATAACCATCTTCTGGAAAGCTTTTTGGTCACATAGCAGCTGGTGCCAAATGTGTGCAATTTGCGAATGTGTGCCCACCTCCCTTGTGCTGTGCCCAACCCCAAGTGGCGGGCGCAGCACATACCACATCCTAGCTGAACGCCTCTTAAAGCTGAGGTAGGTGAAATGGTAAGAGACACAAGGTATCTAAGAATAAAAGACTTAAACAGGAAATCAAAACTGAATCATGACAGGTTGGTCTGATCAAATGTGTGCCCACCTCCCCTTTACTACCTTGGTTCTGTGTGAACAGGTCACTGTAGTTGCTGACACAGTTGCCATCAGTGGCAGTCACGCTAATGTTGTACGTCTGGCCACAGACCAGGTTACTCAGGGTGCAGTTGCTGCTGGAGCTGGTGCAGGTGAGACTCTGTCCATTGCTGGTGGCTGTCACAGCATAGCTCACTGCATTGACACTGGGAGTCCAGGACACCTGAGCAATGTCAGCACTGCAGTTCAGCTGGCTGGACACATTAGTGGGAGCACATGGTCCTGGAAGAGTAAACAACACATCAATTACTGTCAGTCTCTCTTTATGAATGACACGATCATTATTGTGTAACAACATCAAAGACACATTTAAATCATTTTTACCA